TCGGTATGCTGAGTAATGTGAGTGCTTCCGCTTCCGCCTCTGCCTCTGCCTGTCTGGGATGGGTTGGGTTGGGTGTGTGTGGGTGTGGGTGTGGCTGGACCAGCAGCCACTTCCGTTGCTGCCATCCTCGTTTTTAAGTACCTATACTTTTACAGAAGGTATATTGTGTTTGACCAGAAGTTTAAAGCATAGAAAACGCAACTATGCTGCATGCTAGTCTCTCAGTTAGGCTACGAATCTTATGATTACTCAAAAAAGAATATACATCGATAACCTATTGGTTTCTGAAGGTAATACCACCAAACACTACATCAAAACCGTATAGCTATATAGTTACCATTGGAAAGAAGTACATATCTTTAAGAGTATCAAAAGGATCTACCTCCCGAGCCATTCTTTCCTTTCCCTTTACCTTTTTTTTTTGTATTTATTTTAACAAAAAATTTCAAAATACTTAATACTCAATTTGCTCCACAGAGAAATGTTATGCCAGGCGCGGCAGGGCTGGGGCGGGTCGGGACTGAGGGGATGTACATGTGTGTTGTGTTAACTGCTCACCACTTGGCCGCCTTTCCTACTGGGGGCAGCAACCCCATCGCCCACTTCATGTGTGTGGCAACTGTGAGATAAAAGCATCTTTAGCAAGTTGAATAACTTGTTGGTATCTCCCTGGAGCTGGGAGCTGGATGAAAACACTTGCCGCGCAAATGGTGCTTGAACATATTCCACTTTGATTTCGTTTTATATTATTTCATTTTCTGTTTTTTTTTTTAAGAAATGAAATCCATTCAACATTTTGCGTGGGACCTGGGCCTGGCATAAATCTGGCAAAAGGAGCCAGATACAAAATGGGAAATGGAGAGGCTGGAGAAGTAAGAGTGCTTGAGGACTTTTATGCCTGGCACTTAACCGCTTAATTACTCATTATGCTCTCAGTTTATCCAGCCATTTAATCAGTTATTCAATGCAGGGCCGGGCCGAAGGTAAAGGCGCATTTAATGAATAATTGAGCCAAGCCAAACGGCAATAAAACATTTATTAACAATCTCAGCAGCCAGTCCTCGGGATATCTGTTGGGTGGGCTGCCCTCGAGTGTAATTTAACATTGATTCCGTGCATTTATCGTCCGCTGCACACCGTCTGTTTGCTATCGGTACACAGATATGAAAAATGTATCTGCATATTGTCCGTGAATAAATATTTTCCCATCATAAACAGAGTGCGGCTCCAATATGCGTGTGGCATGTATGCCATTCATGCCTGATGAAGAACTCGGATTTCGAAATATGTTAAGGCTGTATTTCAGTAATTAAATGGGCCAGAGGTATGCGATACAGGTACTTTACCCCAGATTAATAGCGATATTTAATAGGAGAGTTTCGATTTCATTAAGGAACATTAAAGAGTTGTTAAAAAAGGAAATGATTTATTATGGATCTTCAAAAAAATTTAGAAGATTGCCTATCATATCTTTAGAGGACAGAGAATATAAGCCTCTTTAACCTCATTCATAATTTAGATGGAACTTCCATCCGTTGTATACTTTCTTCCCAAAAGTTTTCTACTCTCAACATCTTTGTTGACCCAAAAACACTCCGACCCTCAAGGCGACCACGTCCTTGCTACCCATTTGTCAGAATCAGCGCCCCGTCGTGACCCCAAACCACGTGAGTTACTTACAACGAGAATGCCCCGTCCCGAAAAAGGAGAGCAAATCGAAGCGACAGCCGTAACAAGTTCGACGTGATGTCAACAAAAGCCAAGCAATATCAACCTAACAGGAGACTCCTTCACCCTCACACACACACACTGACACCCACACATACGTACACATCGTACTCCTGCAAACACAAAGGCACACACGTATGCCGGGAGAACTTTCATTATAGGAAACGTCAAAGTTCGTGAAGGAGCCCACGCCAAGCGCTCACTCACGTATCCCTCGCTCTCGCTCACTCTATTGGGAATGCCTTGCATCGATGGGGTTTCACAAAGTATTGTAATTGCATTTGCATATGACATTGCATTTAGGTTCAACTTTAAGTAATCCGACAAACTTTAAAGAACTAAGCCGAAATGCAATTCCTACTCCTAGAGCAAACACCTCAGGATAAACACCAAGTCAAACATTGCTAAGAAGGAATATCTTTCAATTTGTTTCTGACTTTGTGACGCCGTCCGATCCTCTCTTTGACTTCCAGTCCTATCTATCTGCCTCTTTTTTGTGTGTGCAACAAAGTTAGGTTAATAAAATGATTTTAAAGTTTTCGCTGCCATGGATACGACACTTTCTATTATGCATTAGGGAACGGCAACAAAATTGTTTTCAACCTTTTTACTTTGGCCATTTTTTGTTGTGCTTACAACTTGTCTGTGATGCTGTGAAGTTTTGCAACAACAAAGACGTATAAAAGTATATGCCGGATTTGATAGGCCGAAGTATTAGATACTCTTGCAGATCCATTGAATAGTAGTTATCCGATTGGGAGACACATTAATATGAGAAGAAACACCAATCTAAAGTTTACTTAACAATGACTTGTCTTTTCGAATCATATTTAGATATATGGATCATATGCAGCATAATAAGCATCAGTCATCGTAGTAGTAGTAGTCGAAAGAGGTCGTAGAAATGGAAAAGTTGCGAACCCTTTTATTAGTTTGAAACTATTCGAAATAATTGTTAAACTTTTATTGTAAACTTTTGTAAATATATGTAGAAACACATAAAACACCAGTAATAACTAACTCCACATGGTACAGTGTTCAGCTTCGCGTTGCTCCGACCTATAAATGCAAGTACTGCTTAGATATTAGCCTTGGCATAGTCCCATCCCGGAAACTGCAACCGGCCTTAGGAGCTAGACGTACTTTTGCCCAACTGTTGATTCTAATCAGGACATTTAGTATGTACCTCCTTTTTTACTTTACAAACATCTCAACCAAACCGTAATACCCACAGAAAGGGTATAATGAAAATAGCTAGGACCAAGTGGAGTCAAGTGGAAGGCGACAAAGAGAGAAAGGGTGGCAACGGGAAGTGAAGAATGGGATAAAAAAGGGAGGAGTATGGTGGAGAGAGTTGCAAAGAGAAGAGCATAGTGAGGGCAGAGTAAGATAGATACCGTTGCTGACAGCTGCTTAAGTGCGAAATTCGATTTCGTATTCAAGGGCGTTGTCCACTCCAAGCCAAAATGAGACGGAGAGAGCACAAAGCAAAAAAAATTCATGAGAGATAAGGTTTAACACACCGAAAACTGATATACCCTTAATTGGATGCTAGTAGTACCTGAAATATCGGTTTGGTAATATTCTCAGCATATGGCCCTTAAAATCTTATATCAAGCTCGGCAAGGACCGACATTCTCATATACTTCATGTGGCCTATTTTCATAGGAAGACTTTTTACGTGGACCTTGGGAAAACTTATAATACACCTACTTCGAGGGTAAGACACAAAGGAAGAGGGCTGAAGAGCTAAAGAGTGAATAGAAATTACTTAAACTTGTAATGAACCAAACACCAAAGCTGAAGCAGGAAAAAAAATACTGAACTTGTGAAATTTATAGAGGCGTACAAGGACATCAACAAGAGCACAGACAGAAATGGGAGATAGAAATGGGATCAGGGGCAGTGATAGAGGGATAAACTAACGAAAAGGAGAAGTGGAAAAAGTAAAGAGCCCGCAATAAAGAGATAAAACTAGAACTAAAGATTAAAAAAAACATGGGATGAGTGAATACCATTTTACAAAAAAGTACCGTCCGTCCTTCAGAAAAGCAGACTCTTGTGAAACTATTCAGAACTCGAAAAAAGCCCAATGAATGGCTTAAATGCCACTTGAATGGAGCCAGGGCCGCGAATTAATTTTCGCTAATTGAATGTTAATTAATAAAATGCAATACGAATGCACCCGAAAAAAGAGCTAGTGAAATAATGAGTGGATAACGTCAAAGTGGGATAATTGTTGACTGAATGGCCATTTACAAAGGCCGAAAAGGGACAGCGAGAAGGACACGCGAAAGAGACAGCCAGAGAAATGCCGAAAGAAAAAGCGCCATAGCGATATAGAGTGGCTGGAAAATCCCTGCGAGTGCCATCAAGCGATAAAGTTTTAATTTCCATTTGATGGCTGTTAGTGAAGCAGCGTACAAATTATTTTTTATATATTTATACGGTTTTTTTTGTAGTTATTTGTCGGTCTGCGTCTGTGTGTAAAATATGTTTTAATTAAAAGCCAAGTTGTATAGTTTTCCCCTGGCACGCTCTCGCTGCGATTTCCCCAAAGCTGGACAAAATCAGAACTGCAAACAAACAAACAAACACATATAAATTTGTTGAGCGACGGAAGCGCCGGCAAAGACCAAAAAAATTCCCTAAAGTGGAAGGACCCAGTGGGCTAAAATGGCGAATGGAAAACGCAGTCAAAGTACCAATTCCACTTACTCACTCGCACACACTCTCTCTCCCACTCACAAACTATTTACAGATGAGTTGAAGTTACGGTGGAAATACCCCAAGGGCTGAAGCTACAAATAGATATTTAACTTTTGTGCAATTGAATTGGTCCTCCCCCACTGGGAAGCAGGGATAAAAGTGGTAAATATTCCCGGAAAGAGTGGTAGAAATCGGTAGTGGGAGTGGTTAGGAGAAATATTGCGAAAAATAGGAGGAGTCGAAAGAGAGGGTGTAACTGTGGTAGAAAGCGAAGAAGATGAGCTATTCTTCATCATGCCATAAATGAACCATGACCCATATGTTGTTAAGCTAAAAACAAACAGGAATTAATTTTGTTTGCGCTGGAAAATTTGGTGCCCAGACGAATTTGACAAAATTATCATAGCTAAGTTTTTTTAACAAATCTCCCAGCTAACAATTGTATGAATCTAGTCACCTTTTCATTTCAACTTTTCCTACAGTGTTCAGGCTACTGGTTTTTTTTAGTCGTTCGCCTACAGCCAGAGAGGCACACTCGATTATTTTTTTTTCCTAAATTCAAAATTTAATTTTTGTGGATTTTTTTTCTTTTTTTTTCAAAATGGGTAGATCACTACTAAAATCTCGATCCAACCAAGTGCTGAAGTGTGGGGAGTTCTATTTGAAGGTAGGGATCTGCCTTAGACCTGCCAACCGTATTCCTAATCCTTCATCAATGGTGTGCAGACGAATCCGCAGCTGAGCTCCCTGCGAAAGTACAGCGATGGTGGCAGCCTCAAGGAAGTGCTGGCCAAGAAGATACCACAGGAGCGCGAGAAGATGCTGGGCATCAAGTGCCTGCACGGCGACAAGAAGTTGGGCGATATCAAGGTGAGCAATGTGATGGGGGGACAGCGGGGTCTGCTGCTCCTCATGTGCGACACCTCATATGTGGACCCCAACAAGGGGATCTTCTACCGCGGGATAGCACTGAAGGATGTGTGCGCCAAGCTGCCCCGCGTCCAGAAGGACAGCAAGGAGGGCACACCAGAGGGAGCGTTCTACCTACTCACGGCTGGGAAGATGCCCAACAAGAAGCAAGCGAAGGACGTCACCACGGAGTGGCAAAAACGGGGCAAGCTCCCCGACTACTGCTTCAAGCTGCTGGACAGCATGGACAAGCGTATCCATCCGATGGCCCAGTTTTGTGCAGCCAGCGCCGCTCTCAATCCGGAGAGCAAGTTCGTGGAGGCCTACACAAAGGGTGCGAAGAAACCCAAATACTGGGAGTACATCTACGAGGACTCCATGAACCTGTGCGCCTACCTGCCCACTGTCGCGGCGGTCATCTACTGCAATATCTTCAAGGGCGGAAAAGGCAACCGCAAGTTGGAGTCTTCCAAAGACTGGTCTGACAACTTTTGCAATATGATGGGCTACAAGGACAAGGGCTTTGTGGATCTGATGCGACTGTATCTCATCCTTCATGCCGATCACGAGAGCGGCAATGTCTCGGCCCACACCACCCAACTGGTGGGCTCGGCGCTCAGTGATCCCTATCTATCGTTCTCGGCGGGCATGTGTGGTCTGGCGGGACCCCTGCATGGACTGGCCAATCAGGAAGTCCTGGTGTGGCTGAACCAACTAATCGAAGCCATTGGCTGTGAGCCAAAGGATGAAGAGATACTCAAGTTTATTAATGATACGCTGAAGAGTGGTCGGGTATGTTCTACCTCCTCCAGCACCTCCAATTTGGAAAACCATCACCAATCCATACTCTCTTTCAGGTCGTTCCCGGCTATGGTCATGCGGTGCTGCGTCAGACCGATCCTCGCTTCTCCCTGCAAAACGCGTTTGCGATGAAGAACTGCAAGGACGATCCGAGTGTTAAGCTTGTCACACGCCTGTGGAAACTCATACCCAAGGTGCTTAAGGAACTGGGGAAGGTAGCCAATCCCTATCCCAATGTCGATGCCCATTCGGGCGTGCTCTTGCAGTACTACGGCATGACTGAGATGAAATACTATACGGTTCTCTTCGGGGTATCCCGTGCCTTGGGGGTTCTGCCGCAACTGATTTGGGCTCGTGCTTTGGGTGCTCCCATTGAGAGGCCGAAATCCTTCACCACCGATTTCCTGTGCAAGTTCCTTTCCAAGTCGAAGGACAAGAAGGGTAAGAAGTCTAAGAAGGGGCCCAAGAAGTGTTAAGAGTGGAACCAACCATAAAGAAGGAGTAATTTGGCAAAATATAAAATAAAAAAAAATTGGCAAACATTGGGGCTTAAAATAGACCTAAGCTTTCGTTTCATATTCATGTGTTTGACAAGAGGTAATTGGGTTTTGCTGTCACTCACTGCAATCGTATAATGTGGTTTCAGACTCGCTTTGATATGTGGTGGAGTGGAGGAGAGGGATGGATATGCCACCTAACAGAGGCATGGCCCAGCGAGTACTAATTATGGGCAAGACAAAAATACAGCTTTGATGTCTGTGGCTCAGTTTCTCCACCAGTCCGTCAGTCACACGCCACGTCTCACATTTCCGTCCAACTCCTTCCGTCGGCTTCAATCGCAGCCATTAATTAGTTGTGTAATAAAATCTTCAGAATAATTATAATAATTAATTACTGAATATTCAAATGGATTTGCCAGAAAATCCATAGTTTGCGGGGTAAAACCACTTGGAAATTCGGTGCTGAAAAGCAAATTTCAAATTCAATCTTTGACATGACAAAGAGCAGCCCTGCTTCAAATTAAGGGCACATTGCTGTTGTTTCCCCCCTGGACAAATCAAACTTATTAATATGTGCATATAAAGAGGGAGCTCCCCACCGCACCGCAATGAATAGCATTCAATGTACTCATGATTATTGTAATTTTTGTAAAAGCATTCCATCAACTGATTGATTTCTGTCCAAGTTCCTCTTTTGTTTGTCTCTCGGCCTTTTCAGTCCGATTGTATTCCACTCTCTCTGGTTTTTTTGTTTCATTTGTTTCATTTGTGGAAAATGTTGTTATTTCTATGAGTGATATTTTATTGTTATTTCCCTCTCCGCAGCAACGGCCTCCCTCGGGGGGATACTGTGTCCCTGGCTTCCACTTGAATGCGATTTTAATTTTTATATGGGAACACATTTGTTGCCTGTTTGTTCCACTTAACAAGTGACCCAATTTAGTGGTTGAGAAAGAGAAAAATATTTCTGCTGGGAATTGAATGCGCATATTAATTGATCTTTAACACTCCAGTCAAGATTCAAATTTTCACTTCGAACAAAAATGTACAAAAAATATTGAATCCATCCACTTTAAACCCTCAACGAGCCTTGACACTGGACAGAACCGCATTAATAAATTTCCTCCTGCATTAAATGCTCGTAAAATAATCATGATTATGAGATATTTTTTTCCCTCCATCCTTAACATATTATTAATTGCTGGGAGAGCACGGGAGATTTGTGGTGAGGCGGGTGAGGTGCCTCTGGGTAGAAAGACGAGAGGAATGAGAGGAAGGAATGTAAATGATAAAAGTTGAAATATGTTTACACAAGTTTGCCGGGGAAAAGTAAGCTGCAAAACGTTTTAATAAAAGCATTTACTATTTTCGCCAGCACAGTTATTTTATTGTTGAGGGAAATCACACAAAAACTTTTTTTATTGCAATTTTCTCCACCAACGCTCGCCCACCAGCCCACTCAGCATGTGTGTGTGTGTGTGTTTTTTTATTTAATTTTTTTTTTAACATAATTTGAAATTGTTTTGGAGTAGGGTGTTGGTGGTGTTGGCAAATGCAGCGGCACGGTCTGGCTTTGGCCTTGGCTGCTCAGAAAGGGAAAGCGTTCCACTCACCCACACGCACACTACCACACACAAACACACCCACTTGAGCACGGGCACTCACACAGACACACACAGCAAGGGGGCAGGGTAGTGTTCTGTCCGCGAGTGAGTGGCGAATAAAACACATCCGCATCAGCCATATTCCGTCCCCGTTCATGTGGTCGCTGCAGTCCTGCTCCTTTCCACAGACCCAAAAAAATAATAGAACCTAAAAACGCTATTCTCGAAGATAACGACTGAAAGGTACCCTAACACAAATATATTTTGCACAACGAGTATGAGAGGACAATAGATAGATCAATAGACTATCGGGGTAGGATGAAATTTACAAGCTTTATTAAGAATACCAAAGGTTTTTATTTATTTTTGCTTATTTAGTGATGATTTGGGTTTAATTTTGTATATGATATCTACATATATAATAGATAATTGAAGCGGGAGTAAAGTAAGACTAATGAGTACTGGCGGTCTATCACTTACACTTTGCACAGGACCTTCTGCCTGTTTTAATTGTCTGATCGTGATAGTTTTTTGTGGATCGCTAGGAAATAGTTGACTTTTCGTATCCATGAAACTATTTCCCAAATTAAACATATAATGTCCAAGATCAGGGTGTATATACAGACAGACGGACACTGCTCGATCGATGCTGCTTCCATCATCCATCAGTATTTTGGATACACAAAATACCCTTGTAATTTACAAGCACTGGGTATAACAATATATGACTTTTCCAATGTATGTGTCTTTTTTTCTGTCTGTGCTCGTGTGTATCTATGTTTAGGGAAAGTGCGTGTGTGGTAGTAGTCATATAAAATGTTCGCACATATGCCAAGTTGCTTTCAGCCATTTGCTGCAATATTAAAACAAAAGTAATGCGAAAGTGCTTTCCAACCCATCGCTACCCACTGCCTCCCCAACCCCAATATTCCACGTATTGCAACCCCCCGCCCCCCCTGCACCCTTGACCACCCATGGCACTCGAAGGAAAAACAAAACCTTAGATTACAAATTGTGCAAAATTGTGTCTGGCAGGCAACTATGTTGGGATATATTTTAAAAACTGACCAAACTATGGCATTTGCCATACCCATTGATGGGGAGTGAAAGAAAGAGTATGATGGGATTAAAGATGAAGATGGAACTAGGGAATATTTGGAATAATTTAGCCAGGGATTACGTTGATAAGTGAATTGGAGGATTGCTTCTGAAATGGCTTATACTTATTGAGATTTTATTTGAACAATCTTTGAATTGAATATAATTTGTGTTCAGGAGAAGACTGAAGAGAGGAAAGGTATAGGTAAATAAAGATCTTGCGACTCTCAATGTTTAACATTAACCCATCTTTCCCATCAAAACCGAGATGAAACAACCAATCGTAGCCAAAGGGATACAAACCATTCGATTCTCTGCAAGGACATGTGTACATCTCTCATCGCTGGCACTCTGTTAATTTGAATACAAAAAGTCTCTTGGAAAAAAAGCCACTCGAGTGTTGAGTGTTAAAAAGTTTCGCTTAAAGCCCCTTCCCTCCCTCTACCACTCTCTTTTTTTTCTCTGTATTTTGGCCAACAGCAGTTTGTCTGTGGTCTCATTTCATTAACTTCCGCCCAAGAAGCCAGAAGGAGAAGCCAAGCTGAGGAATTCGCCATGGACTTGTACTCCTTTCTGTGGCCCCCCATATCTCTATAATCACTTTTCTTGTCGGCGAGCAGTACACGCAGCTGAAATTTGAATATTTCTCTCTATTCCAGCTCTCTGAGGCAATTTTTTATTTTGGCCAAAGCCAAGAGAGGAAGCCAAGAGGGAAATGCCATAACTTCCTTATAGACCGAAAACTTTATGGCTCTGGCAGCAGCTGCACTATCATCCCAAAAACCCCTCTCCCCATTCTCCTTGTTATTGTATTATAATGGTCTCTGGCGCGAGTCGGGGCCTGGGAATGGGAATGGGAATGCTCGGGATGGATCTGCGTATGTTCTATTTTTTAAGATATGCAAAATAAGTTGCAGTTACTCTCAACAAAAGCATCTCGCAGACAAACACATCAGACTATGTGGAATATAACAATGTATATGTGCAGAGTAGATATGTATGTACACATACATGCCATTACACCCTCTAAGAGGGGCTATGACTTTTAAGAGATAAAACTTTCAAGGAAAAGAAGAAAGCGTTTTCTTTTGGCATTTAAAGCGTTATTTTTTCTGCACACTGCTCGAACCCCCAGTAATTGGGTCGCATGGGAATAATTGATCCACCCGAGCGTTACATATAGAAGTCTCACATGTTTCCACATCACTTGGCCTAAGTTGATTCAAAGTTTATTATTCTTATGGCATTATCATATAATAACGATGGTTTGACAAGTGTATCCGCAGCTTCGACTTGGGAAAACCTTTTTGCACTTTTCTATGTATTTGGCTGAGTAAAAAGTTTGTCGGGTACGCAGGAAAATTATAATTCTTCCTCTCTAAACAAAGACTCGCCCAAGGAGGAGGAAAGGACATTCTTCTGAAAGAGCAGTTGCCGTTGCAGCTCCAGCGGCAAAGGCAGTTGCAACAGCAGCACTGGCACTCTCTGACAGAGTGCCAGTAACTGTTGGCTTCCATTTGACAGTGGCCAGGAAGTTTGCCTGTCCGCTCGATACTCAGATAAATTGCATTCCACTGCCGCACGAGAACTCGTGCTTCTTTCATTTCCAATTCTCTTGCCACTTTTTTATATTCCATAAACACAAAAATCTTTGCCCTTTATCCCGTTGTTTAAATATACTGAAAACGTTGCCTGAATGTTGATCCCTTTTTATGAGTGCCATTCAAATATTCGTTTGAACATAAAACCAATTATTTGTGTACAATATTCTTCTGTGTTTGCCATTTAAAATAATTGTTTAATTAGTTCGATATGCGGCTCTGTATTTATTGGCCCATTGAATCCAATGAACACGTGTTAAATTAAATCACTTTTAATTACAGGTTAATTAAATATAATGCATACTGCATGGCCCTATCCCTACTGTTTCTGCATTGTTCACAATTAAATGGCTTTTTTTGATACTTGTTTGTACTGCTAATGAGAGTTGAACAAATTTAAAGAAATTAATGTTTATTTAATGGTGGAGACGATTGTTGAGACAAAAAATTAAATTTGACGGGAATATGTTCCGTTATTAAATCATTTCTGATAACAATAATAAATAATAGTTTGATACTTATATTTTTTTAATATGTATTCCCTATGCCGACTATCCTATCCAGGAAACTTTTCAATCTCTCTGTTGATTCTTTTTGCCCCTTAACACTTGTACTTTTCAATTTAGTTAGAAGTTAACCCCCCTATACAAACCCCTACCCCAAGCAGTTTTAACCGATTTATAATGTACATAAAATGAGCTACTGAAACAACAACTTTACGAGCAAGTGCTTACCTAACATAACTTTCAAAAGTTT